TGTGTGTATGGGGGGCAGTATGTGTGTATGTGGGAGCAGTGTGTGTATGTGGGGGCAGTGTGTGTGTATGAGGAGCAGTTTGTGTGTATGGCGGGCAGTTTGTGTGTGTGTATATGGGGGGCAGTGTGTGTGTGTATGTGGGGCAGTATGTGTGTATGTGGGGCAGTATGTGTGTATGTGGGAGCAGTGTGTGTATGTGGGGGCAGTGCGTGTGTATGAGGGGCAGTTTGTGTGTATGGGGGCAGTTTGTGTGTATGGTGGGCAGTTTGTGTGTGTATGGGGCAGTGTGTGTGTGTATGTGGGGCAGTATGTGTGTATGTGTGTATAGGGCAGTGTGTGTGTGTGTATGGGGGGTAGTGTGTGTGTGTGTATGGGGGGTGAGTGTGTGTGTATGGGGGTAGTGTGTGTGTATGGGGGGGCAGTGTGTGTATGTGGGGCTGTATGTGTATGGGGGGGCAGTATGTGTGTATAGGGGGGCAGTATGTGTGTGTATGGGGGGGCAGTATGTGTGTGTATGAGGGCAGGGTGTGTGTGTGTGTATGGGGGCAGTATGTGTGTGTATGGGGGCAGTATGTGTGTGTATGAGGACAGTGTGTGTGTGTATGGGGGGCAGTGTGTGTGTGTATGGGGGCAGTATGTGTGTGTGTATGGGGCAGTTTGTGTGTAGATGGGGTGCAGTTTGTGTGTATTGGGGCAGTTTGTGGCCAGATGGTGGGCAGTTTGTGTGTATAGGAACTGATTTCCCGTGTGTGTATAGGGGCAGTATGTGTGTATGGGGGACAGTTTGTGTGTATAGGGGCAGTTTGTGTGTATAGGGGCAGTTTGTGTGTATAGGGGGCAGTTTGTGTGAATTGGGGGGCAGTTTGTGTGTATTGGGGGCAGTTTGTGTGTATGGGGGGCAGTTTGTGTGTATAGGGGGCAGTTTGTGTGAATGGGGGGGCAGTTTGTGTGTATTGGGGGCAATGTATGTGTGTGTGGCTTTTTTTTTATTATATATATATATATTTTAATTTAATTAAAATAAATAAATATCCTATGTCCCCCCTCCCTTCTTACCTTTACTGGGGAGGAGGGGGGACATATTTCGATCCCTGGTGGTCCCAGTGGTGATTCCCTGGTGGTCCCAGTGGTTACAGTGAACTCTAGCCCGCGCTCCCGGGCTAGAGTTCACTCTCGCGAGATTTGGAGCGTTGCCGTGGTAACCGCGGCAACGCTTCAAATCTCACGAGAGGAGGACCCGGAGGAGGTGCAGGCTGAGCTCCTGGGTCCTCTCTCCTCCCTCAGCTGTCTTGTGGTGTTTGGTACAGCTGAAATCTGTTAGCAGCCAGCAAGCAAATAGTTAAAAACCTTTGATTAATTATTTGGCGGCTGGACATCTCTTGATAGCTAGTCGCAACATGAAAAAAGTTTAAAAGGAATAATTCAATCAATAATGCCACCATATGTACTAAATGATAAAAACTAGTGACTGTACAGCCATTAACCCCTTAAGGACCAAAATTCTGGGATAAAAGGTAATCATGACATGTCACACATGTCATGTGTCCTTAAGGGGTTAAAGGGACATTATAGTCACCAGAACAACTACAGCTTATTGAATTTGTTGTGGTGAGTAGAATCATTACCTTCAGGCTTTTTGCTGTAAACACTGTCTTTTCAGATAAAATGCAGTGTTTACATTACAGCCTAGTGATAACTTCACTGGCCACTCCTCAGATGGCTGTTAGGGATCCTTCCTGGGTCATGGCTGCCTAAAATGCATCCAACCATTCAGTGTCTCCTACCTCTGCATGCAGACACTGAACTTTCCTCATAGAGATTCATTGATTCAATTAATCTCTATGGGGAGATGCTGATTGGCCAGGTCTGTGGTTGAATCATGCTGGCTCTGCCCCTGATCTGCCTCCTTGTTGGTCTCAGCAAATCCTATGGGGAAGCACTGTGATTGGATCAGGCTACCACTTCTGATGATGTCAGCAGACTGCTTGTTTTTTTGAGGAAAACAGCAGGAAGATCTACAAGGCTTGAATACAGTAAGATTTTGCTATATTTATGGAGGCATGAGGGGCAGGCCCGGACTGGCCATCGGGCACACCGGGCAAATGCCCGGTGGGCCGCGGTGGCCGTGGGGCCGAGGCCGGCAGGGGAGGTCCCAGGATCTCCCCTGCCGGTCTATGCAGGGCCGGCACTATCCGAGCGCCGGCCCCGCTGTCTTCCATGGAGGGCCGGTGGGGAGATCAAAGATCTCCCTCACCGGCCCATTTAAATAAACCTGCGGCTGGGGAGGGAGGGAGAGGACCCGGCGGAGCTCTGTCTTGCAGCTCCGCCGGGTTTCTCTCGCGAGATCCGGAGCGTTGCCATGGCAACGCCCCGATCTCGCGAGAGAGTTCACTCACCACTGGACCACCAGGGATGGTGTGCGAGTGCCGGTGCCCCCCCTCCCAGCTACCACGTGCATGTCCCCCCTCCCAGGCTAAAGGTAAGAAGGGAGGGGGGGGGTTTAGTTTTTTTTTTGCTTAGTTTTTTTTTTGTTTATTTACCCCCCAACACACAACATTTATACACAGCACTATCACACTCAGCATTCTCAGCACTCACACAACACTCTCACACACATCACACCCAGCACTCACACACAGCACTCTCACACATCATAGCACTTTCACACACATCATAGCACTTTCACACACATCATAGCACTTTCACACACATCATAGCACTTTCACACACATCATAGCACTCTCACACACATCATAGCACTTTCACACACAGCACTCTCACACACAGCACTTTCACACTCAGCACTCTCACCTCCAGCACTCCTCACACACACATCACCGCATAGCACTCTCACACACACATCACACACAGCACTCACACACACAGAAGCGCCCAGCACTCTCACACATCACTTAGCACTCTCACATCACACTTAGCACTCCTCACACATCACATAGCACTCTCACCCAGCAGCACTCTCACGCTTGCCCAGCACTCTCACACACACAGCGCTCTCACACACAGCACTCTCACACACATGCGCGCTGGCACTCTCCACACACACATCCTTAGCACTCTCACACACACACAGCACTTTCATCACACACATCATACACAGCAATCTCACACAGCTTCAGCAGCACTCTCACACACATCCTTACTTACTCTCACACACAGCACTTTCACACTCAGCACTCTCACACACATCACACACCCAGCACTCACACACACAGCGCACAGCACTCTCCCACACACACATCACCACGCAGCCTCCACACACATCATAGCACTCTCACACACATCATACACAGCAATCTCACACACAGCACTCTCACACACATCATACACAGCAATCTCACACATCGCAGCACTCTCACACACATCATACACAGCAATCTCACACATCGCAGCACTCTCACACACATCATAGCACTTTCACACTCAGCACTCTCACACACATCACACAACACTCTCACACACAGCACTCAGCACTCAGGCACATCACTCTCACACACATCACACTCAGCACTCACACACATCATACACAGCACTATCACACTCAACACTCATACACAGCACTATCACACTCAGCACTCATACACAGCACTATCACACTCAGCACTCATACACAGCACTATCACACTCAGCACTCTCACACATCACACACAACACTCTCACACACATCATACACAGCACCCTCACACATACAGCACCCTCACACACATCACACCTCACACACACATACTGCACCCCTCACATACACACACAACCCCCCAATACACTGCATCACACACATACACAATACTTCCAAACATATTTATATAAACTATATATATATATATATATATATATATATATATATATATATATATATATATATATATATATATATATATATATATATATATACACACACATACACACAACACCCCTCACACATACACTGCACCCCTAAACACATTACATTCCAGACACACACTAGATCCTTTAGCCAACTCTGGATCATATACACACACACACTCTGGATCCCCTATATGCACACTAGATTCCTTGTAAGCAAACACATACTACATTCCCTGAACACACACTCTCTACAAACACTAAATCACCTATACACACACACACACACACACACACACACACTATAGCCTGTATGCACACACTTGCTACATCCCCTATACACACACATTCTCTACAGCCCCTAGCCACAAATGCATTACATTACACCACAAACACAACACGACTAAAACAGACCTTATTACACAATACCACACCATGACCAGCTCACTCTGCACAAACGTAATACCACAAACAGGCTCCAAACACATGCACAATACTCTTTCCTGGCCCTTTTGTCTCCTGGTATCCATTTATAGAGACACCAGAGGCAAGTTGCAAGGAAACAGTGCAAGCATGTTATTAAATTTGCTTGCACTGTGCAGAACAAATACAGGGCTTTTCTCATACTGGGGAAATATTCCAGCAAGAGCTCGCATGTAGTCTACCCTGGAAGAGCATTGAACCAACATGCTCACTTTGAGGGAGGGCGTGTTTGTCGCGAGTGATGATGACAAAACACACCCACTCTCTGCCCCGCCCCTTCTTGAGTGGGCGCTGTGATAAAAATGCCGGAGCTGAATTTTTTTTCCCACACAGTCCGACCCCTGATGAGAAGACCTGGGGGGAGGGAGGCTAGATGGTGGTTTTAACACTATAGGGTCAGGAATACATGTTTGTGTTCCTGACCCTATAGTGACCCTTTAATAAATCACCCTACCTACTTGTCTCAACCTAAAAATAGTGAGGGTAAGGGTCCAATTAAATGAATACCTGAATTGAAAAGGAATTATATCTCACTTTAACAGTGCTCTCACTACTGCAAGGGATTCTGGGTAGGCATATGCAAATGAGCTCAACAAAGAACCACATTTTTGCCTCATAATTCCACTTTATACATTGGTTCCTTGGAGTATGTGTCTGCTGTATACAACAGCTTTGAAACACAACTCAGCAGGAGGAGCAATGCCAGGGAACCACTCATGGACAGCTGTTTCATTGTTAATGCAACTCATGAGGTTGGCTACCGGCTTGCTATGGAGGCTTGGCGTTACTTGTTGTTATGCTACTTGGGTTATTTGGATTGGAACTCAACTGCAGCTTGTAGAACTCCCTAATTACAATAGTGAAGAAATGAAGAATCTTTAAAGTATCAATACTGTAGCTTTAAGAAAAGAGAGGATTGCTGGCAATTTGAGAATCAAACAAAGTTTTAATGATTGATAAACTTAAATGAATAGCATATAGGCAATAATCCAATAAGAAGAAAGTGCAGGTTATCCAACAATACAAAGTTCATTAATAAGTATTTCCTCAGAGAAGATTTTAATAAGATTCTTTAGGTTGCTGGGAATAATCTTCAATAGAAACATTAAGCAGGTAGCAGAGAGTATCTGCAAAGCAAGAAACAGTTCATAGGAAATAAGCATGATGGGAGTTGTCCTCCATATAATTAGTAGCTTGAAGCAGAGAACATTTAAGCAAGCAGGAATTGGTTCCAAGAAACAGTTCATAGTAAATAAGCATGATGGGAGTTGTCCTCCATATAATTAGTAACTTGAAGCAGAGAAGATTTGAGCTAGCAGGAATTGGTTCATTAATAAATGATATTGCAGACAATAGTTGAAAGATATACTTAAGGTTAAGGTGAGTTGTCCTCCAAGAGTAAAGAGTTATAGTCCACTTGTAAATTAGCAAAGTATCCGTTCTCCAGTAATCCTCTATGGCTTGCAGCAATCCTTGCATTGGCTCAAAGGCTGGGACGGCTTGTCAGAGCTTGTGGAGCCGGCGTGTATACCCGGAAGTAGGTCCCACATCACCAAGCGCCTTCTCCCTGGCGCGGTCTCCCTAATTACTGTCAGAGCCGCGTCAGAAGGGGGCGGGACCGGCTCCGCAATGCATAAGTGCCGAACCCAGAAGAGATACCGCATGACACTTGTAGAGTACATACCAACAGAGTTGTGGTGGGGAAAAAAGTGTGGATGAAAACACCTTCCACCTGAAGTACGTGGATAGTTGATACATTACTAAACACAAATACACAGACCAGTCAAGCCATAAGACTTGCTTTTCCCACAGCAAGTAGCCAACTTCATGCTGATGAGTTGCATTAACAACTGGTTCACTGGCTTTGCTCCTCTTCCTGATTTGTGTTTCAAAGCTGTTGTATACAGCAGACACATAATTCAAGGAATCCATGTATAAAGTGCGATTATGAGGCACTCTTTTGGTATATATATATATATATATATATATATATATATAAATGCTGTCAATCAGGAGCACTCACTTGGATTTTCAAAAGTGTTATTTATAAAGTGTTAATCAACCTACATCAACGTTTCGACCCTTCAGGGTCTTTATCAAAATAATAACAACGTGCACAAAATGCATATATATAGACAAATGTAAAATATCTAACTTACCCCATCTGTGAAGTGATTTCCGTGTCCCATCGAGTGCTGATCGGCTGTGTGCGTGCATACTGACGTTCACGCATGCATGCGTAATGACGTGCCCCTAGCGTGCCCGCGTGTCAACAAACGCCCCCAGTGTAACTCGTACTTCATGGAAGATCCAAAGATAAATTAAATACAACATGTAATGGGACCAGAAAAGCCAGAACCCCAAGTATTCTAACAGGATATAAAGTGTCTAGATATTAATAGTAGAGCCAATAGGGTAAATTAGCACAAGGTGTGTAAGTGCTAAGGATGAGTGTAAGAATGTATAAGACACATAGTGTCTGAAAAAAATGCAGTGTGATAAGGAATGAGAGTGTGTGTGTATAAGTGAACAGTGCACAAAATACATAACAACAATATGTGAATAAAACCTGAAAATCAAGCCCTGTGTAGGTGAACAATGTGATGTAGAAGTATGTAAAGTACAGACCCCCACAATGTATTGAACCACATACATCACAATATAAATAATAATAGGATCGGCAAACCTACAAATTCCCCGAATTAATCGGTAGTCTCATATAATATATGTGGGTGAACATCCCACAAAATAAAGCTAGTCCCAACTACTAAAAAAAGACAAGAGAATCTGAGGACCAAAAAAGATATACATAACATAATATTTAAATTAAAAACTATATCCATGTATCAAAGTTATAAGATTCAGGATGCTGAGACTGAACATTACCTAGCTGTAAGATACAAAAAACTGGAATTCATAATCTGCAAAGAAAGGCAGTGACATATATATATATATATATATATATATATATACACTGCTCAAAAAAATAAAGGGAACACAAAAATAACACATCCTAGATCTGAATGAATTAAATATTCTTCTGAAATACAAAAATTAAAAAATGGAAATCATGGAGGTCTGGATTTGGAGTCACACTCAAAATTAAAGTGGAAAAACACACTACAGGCTGATCCAACTTTGATGTAATGTCCTTAAAGCAAGTCAAAATGAGGCTCAGTAGTGTGTGTGGCCTCCACGTGCCTGTATGACCTCCCTACAATGCCTGTGCATGCTCCTGATGAGGTGACGGATGGTCTCCTGAGGGATCTCCTCCCAGACCTGCACTAAAGCATCTGCCAACTCCTGGACAGTCTGTGGTGCAACGTGACGTTGGTGGATGGAGCGAGACATGATGTCCCAGATGTGCTCAATTGGATTCAGGTCTGGGGAATGGATGGGCCCTCCTACGGCCTCCTCCACGTCTCCTGATGTACTGGCCTGTCTCCTGGTAGCGCCTCCATGCTCTGGACACTACGCTGACAGACACAGCAAACCTTCTTGCCACACCTCGCATTGATGTGCCATCCTGGATGAGCTGCACTACCTGAGCCACTTGTGTGGGTTGTAGACTCCGTCTCATGCTACCACTAGAGTGAAAGCACCGTCAGCATTCAAAAGTGACCAAAACATCAGCCAGGAAGCATAGGAACTGAGAAGTGGTCTGTGGTCACCACCTGCAGAAACACTACTTTATTGGGGGTGTCTTGCTAATTGCCTATAATTTCCACCTGTTGTCTATCCCATTTGCACAACAGCATGTGAAATTGATTGTCACTCAGTGTTGCTTCCTAAGTGGACAGTTTGATTTCACAGAAGTGTGATTGACTTGGAGTTACATTGTGTTGTTTAAGTGTTCCCTTTATTTTTTTGAGCAGTGTATATATATATATATATATATATATATATATATATATATACTCTCTCTATTTTTATTTTA